TACTTAAAGAGTTATATACTCCATCACAATCAGCCATTTGCCCTTCAACCAGTGAACAGGAAAAGGGAAGAAGTCTATGAAAAGGAGTTTTATAAACGCGAAGATTTTGCTTCAGCCCTTCTAAGATGGCTTATAAAAGCACAGGTAAGCATTGGTATGGTTGAGAACCGTGAAGAAATAACAACCATTGGCTGAAATATTCAGTCTGGTTTTACTACCCACTACACAGTCTGAGCTGGACTAAAAATACAACAAAACTGAGAATGAAATAGAGCCAAACACACCATCACGCTCAGGGAGTGTCTCCTGCGAGCTGCTTTCCAGGTAGCTGTGGATTCCACTAGGGGGCAACAGAGTGTGCGCAGAGAGTGACTTGGGCGTTAAGGACATTGTCTAGTTTTAGGTCACTAGTTCAGTGTGCAAAACAGTCTCCATTTCAAAGGCACATTGGATTTCTGAATGATGCTTCTATTACCAAGCAATGTGTTCTGATAGAAGGATTCCTGTTTTAAAGTTAGTTAGTCATACTGGCAGTTTGATTTCTCAATAATAAATGAATCCAAATGTTCTGTCATAATAAAGTAACTTCCCATTAAACTATTGCACAATTTAATAACTTTCAAACAAATTTCATGAGATTTTTAAAAACAATGTACTCTATATAGCCTTTGATGTTTAATACTTAAATTTAAAACATTTAATGTTTAAATCAAAATGCACAGGTAAAAAATACACCTACAACACTACAAGATTCAACAGCTAACAATTGAGCACTTACTATGTACCATACTATATTGAAAACTTAATACATTTTTCAGACACCAACCCTATAAGATAAAAACCAACATTACATCCATTTTACAAACAGGCAAATTAAGGCTAATAGACATGAAACTTACCCAAGGATTTATAGCTAATAAAGGATGAAACCGAAATGAAACTTTAATATTGGAGTCCCAGATACCATGTGCAATCCCTGAGGCCAACCCACCAACACTAGCATCCAGGGGATTTGGGCATTTTTCCAAAATCAACCCCTGTGATAGTCAAAATTTAGTCAAAGATACAAATAGTCTTTCATTGTACTTTACCATGTAATAAAATTTTACTTTTGTATATGTATTTACTTACTGTAAAATCATGGCAGTAATCCAATTTACATAACAAGTTATGCATTGCTGTATTTCAGTATCATATTGCCATTGCCTTCTACAAACAAGAAATAATAATAATAATAATAATGAAGACAATCATTTAAAAAATTCAATACTCAGGTTCTCACACTCAAAAAAAAATATCAGCTAATGCTAAGCTTTGCATGGGCTTTGTTAGATGTTAATCTGTAGACGTCTTCGCAGTATTGTATATTACAATGAGAAACTGATAAGTCAATACTATATAGTCTGGTGTGACCCTGAAATTATTTCTACACAAGACAAAAGCATAGCCATCAAGGCCTAAAGAGTGAGGCTCACCCCACGAATGGAGATTCGATCTGTGATGTACTTTGGAAAGAATGAACAGATTGATCAACTAATCAGAAGCATAAGACATTTTCCTTGTCCTACAAAATCTTTAAGTCCAACTTGTGAAAACTTCATCATCATTTTCAAAGTTTAAAATAGGATAAGAGACACTGTATTAGTGTCCTACTGATGTTATAACAAGTTACTCCAAACACGGTGGCTTCAAGCAACACAAACTTGTAATTCCAGAGGTAATATGTCTGAAATAGGTCTCACTGGGCTAAAATCAAGAGGTCAGCAGGGCTGTATTCTATATGGAAGCTCTGGAGGAGAATCCATTCCTCCCTCCCCCCCCCCCCCGCCCCCGCCAGCTTCTAGAAACTACCTGCATTCTTTGGCTCCATTTTTTTTTTGTAAGATTTTATTAATTTTAAGTAATCTCTACACCCAACATGGGGCTTGAACTTAGAACCCCAAGATCAAGAGTCATATGCTCTACTGACTGAGCCAACCAGGTGTCCCTGGCTCCATTTTTAAAGTCAGCATTGGACAGTCAATTCTTTTCACATTGTATCTAATACCGACTCTCTTGCCCGCCTCCTTCAGTTATAAGGACCCTTGTGAGTATACCTGGCCTATCCAAATAATCCAGAATAATTTCCCCACATTTTAACATCCTTAATCACATTTGCAAAGACCCTTTTCCCATGTAACATACATGTCACTGGTTCTGGACATTAGGATTAGATATCTTTAGAGGCTAATACCCTGTCTACTGCAGATAACAAAACATATAATTTGTGAACATTTGGCAATCCTTCTGAAAAGTAGTTACTGAACTACAGAATATATTCTCCTACAAAACAGCATATCATTTTTAGAAAAGTATAGTCTACCAAGTCCTCACAGAAGTAATCTGGGACATGGAGAAAGGGATGCAAGGGACAGTAACACAGGCAACGTACTTTTACAAAAAATTAGGTATAAGCTTCAGGCAAAGACAGTTGAATTTATATACATGTGACATACTAATTCAAAATAATCTTGTTAAACTCCATAGTTCTATTACCTACCTCTTCTTAACAATGGTGCTATGTAAAAACAAATTCATGCTTATTTGTAATTCATGAGTTTTCATAATCAGCAATTATAGAATCAAACAACCAACACACTGCTTGGCACGTTGCAGAAAAACAAACGAGTATGGAAATTTAAATTCTAGTTTGATTCTGCCACTGACAACCTGTGTGATCTCCAGCAAGTCACTTACAATTTCTGGGGCTCTTCTCAGAAACTAAAAATAGGGATAACAAATAGCTCCTGCCCGCAGGGTCACTATGAAATAAAACAGAATATATAATTGCCAAAGACATTCTCGGCCACTGTTAGTGCTCCATAAAATGTTAAGTAGTTGTTATTGTGTGAACTACGTCAGTAACCTAATTTACAAAATTTACAAAATTTTGTAAGTTGAGACAGATTTACATGTCTAAATTTAAATTTACAATCTAAATTTACAAAAAAGTAAGGTCAAACAAAGTCTGGAGGAACCTTCTTTCCAGACTAGACACGTAAACTATCAGAAACTCTTCAGACTGCAGAGTTGATGTCAGGGGAAAAAAAAAAAGTGATGCTCTCTTTTTCGCTGACATTATTTTTAAAAAGGAAAAAATGGGAGCATGTATTTTTTCCCCCAGCAATATCCAAAGCGTAATTCTCATCTGCTCTGCAGCACAATACCAATTAGGCACCGTGTATTTGATGTGAAAGTACATTAAGGAAATAGGTACACCTGTACCCAAACAGCCCTAATCCTTTGCTAGGATTTTAACAGACTACCTCATTTTTTTCACCTGACTCAATAGCAGTGAAGTCCCTTTAAAACCAAGATTACATATAATAAAAGCTGTTTCTGTGTCTAGTAAATGGATTATAGTTAAAAGGGCACTGCCAGGATAGTTAAAAAGAATTCTCTAAAGGAAGAGCTCTGTAGGACAAATGATTTCCCTCAGCACCATTCATGGGAACATCCTTCCTATAATTAGGTCTTGGACAAGGCTGGGGTGAGACATATTCTTCTGGCCCTTCATAAACTTGCTACTTTTTGGCATTTAATACAATGGGCATCAGTGAAATCTGAGAAGGGAAGACCTTCTTCATTAACAAACAGACCAAATGCCTAGACTATTTCAAAATAAGAAGATGGCTACAGGAAGACAGAAAGTGAAACAGAAATACAGAAGTGAAAGTCATCCCTTAAAGTTATCAATGTAAATAATATTATTAATTTCTGGGAGACCAAGCAGTAAGTGTTCTTTGAGAATCAAAATGGATAAGAGAATGTACCAGATATTATTAATACAAGGAACACAAAGGAAATAAAAATCTTCTGGTCCATGTCACATAGAACTTACAATCTATTTAGGGAGATAAGTCCCTTATGGAATGAGTAATTATAAAACAAAGCAAATTAGCAAACCAAGGTTGAGTTCCAACAGAAAACAGGGCAAATAAATGGACAGAATGTCCACAAAGACTTTTGGAAATTTGAACAGTCCAAAAAGATCTTACAGAAAAGGAAAATGTAAATTTTACCCAAGTTCACTAGATCACTTACATTCCAGTGCAGTTGGTACACACACACAGACATACACAGACACACACACACACACCCCAGAGAGTACAGAAAAACAAAAGAGAGAAACACATAAACACACATAAATTAGCCTAGTACAAACAGCACTGAGGACACACAGGAGAAGAAACACTGAAGCCAGGATCCCTCTGGGAGCGCTGTGGTTCAATTCGGGAGGACACAGGAGCCACTGATAAGAGGAGCCCAACACAGAAGCGGCCATAAAACAATCTGTCTCAACTGCAAAAATTCAGTGTATGGCCACTGAAGTTTCCTTTCACACCTTTTCCAGTTTATCATCAGAAGAAAAATCTAATTAAAATAAGATATTTGCAACAGGGTTACTCCCAAGTAGGTGGCAAAATATGTCACAACTTTTTGGAATATTCCATTTAGTATTTTGTTTTTATTTTAAGAAATGAAAACAAAAACTATTTAAAAAATGGGGTTTTGCCAGCTACTTTATTTAAAAAAAAAAAAAAAAAGTCTTCACCATAGTTCCTCCTAAGATTTGTCTGCCGGTTGTTTTCTCTATTTTGAAACACATTCAAATCACAAGTATTGAGTTGACTGTCTAGCAAGGGCCAAGAAGAAACCCCAGAGCCAGCAGTGGCAACGGGAACTCCAACAGCCTTGGTGCCTGACACTAATTTACAGAGACGCATGAGGAACTCTTGGGAATGAAGTGTCTGCTAATTAGGCCACCATGAACAGATTCCCAAACCTTGACAAAGTTTTTCCAAACATCTGATGAAGAACTTTGATTTATGGGCTGTTCAGGTAAAGCCTGAACAGATGGTATCTTTTAATAATAACGGACACATGCATTTGTTAAGGATCTCAATCTCTAGGAAACGCGGAGCTCTAAGGAGGAAAACAGAAGAGTTTTAGTAATCTACCTTATCTTTGTCTTCAACGACATCTGCCAAAACATCATCTGGGTCCAGGATTCCTCCATCTGTGTATTCTAAGTGATGAATCTTCACCCAGTAGCCCGGATCCTATGGTACAACAATCAACAAGTTTCATGATGTAGACTTTAAAAATACAGTTTAATTAAAAAAAAAAAAAAAAGTTGACAATTTAAAAAATGGGCTTTAATAACGAAATGTTTGAACACCAAAAATAAATGTTACTTCTATTTCGATAAACATTTGCCATTTTTATCCTGTTTCAGGGAGATCAGTAAATCACAGCAGACCTATTTTATCAATTATCCTAGAAGATAAATTACAATGCAAAGATAAAAGTGCCACAGTTATTTGAAAAGTGTATTCAAGAAATTTTTTATAACTTTCATTTAGGTAACCCCAAGAATACTTTGGGGGAAGAAAAAAGAACTTTTTGAGGGCACTCTTTGAAATGGGATTAGAAATTCAGACTGAGATTCCCAAAGTTGTAGGCGAGGGGCGGGTGGTGGGGGGAATCAAAAGGCAGAAATCTTTGATGGCAATAGTTGTCAGTTTAGAATCAATCAATGGCACGGAGTAACCGCTGACCTCTTCATCTTTTTAAATCTCCACACTCCATGCCTGTCCTCCCCAACATTTGAGACGTCACATAGAGCAAGAGCTCTACACAGCAGCGACTTGAACTGTGTTTGGAGCTGAACGAGGAGTTTGCTGAACAGGAGAAGTGATTTAGGAGATTTCCAAGTACTATTTTAAAAACCTGCTTAGGAAAGTAAGGCTTAAGGGAAAGAATTATTTTCTCAATTTGATATGTGGCTAAACACTCAGATGCTGCAGCTCAGAATTAAATGATGCAGCCGCCTACTTCCAGAAAGGACACGAAGGTCAACCAGAATAATGAGGCAAAGACATGAACCAATGAATGAAGAAAAACATTAGCAAGTTTTTTACCAGAATACCCGAGCTATTATCAATTTGGCTCTGTGATTCTTAGAAAGCTTCTCAAAGTGCGAATAATTCTTCTAGGATAAAGTGCTAAGCCTTTATCATATGAATCTTTAGAAGGGATAAGAACTAACATAGTCCAGAATTCAACTGCAATTTTACAAAAACTAATAGAAATGGTTGTCACACAGGCTCCTCTTTACCTGGCCCCCAATAAAATGCAAGAACATACTATTAAATAAAAGTAATGCTTTCAAAGCATCTATGCAGAGGGCTACTGAAATGTAGCCCAAGTATATAGCTTTTTAGTAATCTGACTTGGTAAAGCCATAGGCTTAAAAAAAAAAATCCAAAGGAATTCTCCTTTGACATTTCAAAAATTAAGTTTTCTATAGAGTACCTGAAAAGCTATTCCAAGTAAAATGAAAGGAATTTCATTGCGTCTAATACTAGCCTTATAAATGGAAACACTGATGATTGGGAAACTTGAACCACCTGATTCTCTTACCCAGAGAGATGACAAAGATAGGAGCAGTCACTGTATAACCAGGTAAAGAAAAGCACACCCGTCACTCAGATTCTTTAATCCGAGATCCTTACCAATTCAAGGTGATTGTGCTATAAAAGGTGAGCTTTACAATAGTGCAGAATAGTACAATAGACTGGATTCTAAATAAGGAGAATACTAGAGTAGATAAAACACTACATAACAGCCATTGGACTGTACAGAAAGAAAGAACTCCCCCTATAATCTTTGGGAATTCAGTCTTTTGGCTATGGCCATGCCATCAGCAATGTATTTTTTTCCAAATATACCCAGGACTTCTAATTGAAATCTACAGGGTATTACATTTTCCTTGTCAAAATTGCCTTCTTACAAAGGGAGTTCAATTTAATTAATTTCTATTAATATCCATTGAGTTGGTTTTTGCTATATTACAGCACTGTAGATGAAATCTGTTGATTCTAACCATGTTTGTAAAAGGTGATGTATTCTGAAGAGTTCTGAAGAGTTTGCTTCTTTTATATATATATTCAATTAATTGAAAGCAGATATCTATTAAGTTGTCTCCTTTTTTCTCATGCTCAGTTTATAAAAGCAGATTTTATCACCTAAGACAGAGGTAAACAACTACCCCCAACTATTGCAGTGTAAGTTAAAATGTGCCTGTGTTCCTGCCTAGAGGTAGGAACACAGAGGAGAAAACCAAGGATTCTGATTTAAAATAGGAAAACTCAGGAGGTAAGAAGGGATGGGATGTGAGCAGTAGCACAGGAAGGAGCAGACAGGTGGCAGCATGATGGGGTTCTTAAGTCACACAGCATTTTGCCATCACTCATGCTTGCAGGATCTAAGACTTTCTGGAAGATAAGAACTAGGAGTTGCAACTATGACATTTATCTCTAATCTTCTAATTGTGATTCCAAGGAGTACCGAAAAAAGTCCCACAGTACTAAATCAAGTAAAAAAGTTATTTTGAACATTTTAGAATCATATATTCAATCCAAAAAACTTTTTAAGTGAACTACATACCACTAGAATATTAAAAAACTGCAATTCTAACATGACCATCTCACATCGATACCGCCATTTTGTACACTTCAGAAAAGAGGAGACTCACGATGAGCACACATCCAATCCTGAACAAAAACAGACAAGCTCTATCAAAGTCATCTCAGTTAATATTTTACATGTCCAAGGGAGGTAAATCAACAAACACAGCACGTACTAACTGTGATTTTGTCTCCATGGCATTTCGGGCATGGAGCTATAGATCATTTTAAAAATATACATACAATATTAGCAGCCAACAGCCATTATAAGACCATAAATTCACCCTGACTCCTTTATGCATGTAAAAACTTCAACCATTACCTTGCACTCAGGATTTTGCATTTCATTTACTTAGTTTTATTACCACCAGGAATAAAACTGATCAAACATGAAAGGATGTTCACATATATGTCTACTTTCACACAATTAATCAATTGGAAAAGTTTACCGTGTTTTTCAGGATTATGATATTAATTTACCTTTTGCACAAATACCTTAATATATAAAATGTAAATTATTTTGAAAATATCTCTAGTAAATGTGTTATACAATAAATCTCATAACTTACATTTTTAGGTTCTTAAAGTATTGAAAAATAACAAACATTGCTTCCTCTGAGAGTATCTTATCATAAATTTCAAATAATACACAGTTAACTTAAACACTAATGGAATCTTAAAAATAGCCACAAGGATGAACTGGAAAAGGAAACAAATGCATATGCATTATGGAAAGACCATTTTACAGAGAACTTCTAATGATCAATGTAGAAACTGTTCCAAAAAGGCATAGATATTAGTAGCAATAAACATCCTTCACTGTGGGTAGAGGACATGAAATTTGACCCTAATACCTTAGAAAATCTCTACTGGCCAGGGTTTTGAAGAACAGTAATTTTCCATCTGCAGTATCAGGAGAAGTAGACTGTCAAGCCAGATACTATAGTGCTATTGATTACCAAGCACTGAGATTATGTCAACCATCAAAAGAGGGAAAACATGGGTGGTTCTCAACAAAATGCTTCTGGTCCAAAAAGAGAAAAAAATAGCCTGCAATGGCAGCTAAGCCCAAAAGTGAAATGAGCACTATAAAAGAAAAGCCGATGTTGGAAAAGAGCTATTTTATCAGCGGTGGCCAATTACAGAGCTCAGTAGTGCAGCTGGTTTCTTGGTGACTTAATTTTTTTCACACAAATAATCTCACCCATTGGGACAGAAGAACAATTATAAAAATTAAAGTTAATGGAAAATTTAAAATCTTCTAAGTAGAATTTAATTTCATGAATTTTGTGGAATATATTCACAAAATAAGATTTCAACATTTTGATCATCATCATCGTAGCAGATAACTTTAGTGGTTACTATACGCCAGGTGCTATAGGTACTGTGAGTTTTGTATAATTAGCCTCTTTAACCTCAAACAGCCTCATGAAATAGTTATCAATCCATTTTTTAGATGAGAAAACCAAGTCACAGGTAGGTGAATTGACTTACCCAAGGTTAGATGCTTAATAAACAGCAGAGCCAAGATGTTCTTCTTTAAACATAGAAAACAAGTGATTTAAAAAAAAATAATAACAACACAAGTACCTAAGAATAAGGCAAGGGGATCAAATCCATCTCTGCTGCTCCTTAAGTATATGGACCCAGGCAAGTCACCATTCCTCTAGGCCTCAGTTGCTTCATCATTATTAAACATAGAGGCTGTTTGGCCTTCTGCACAATGCAGCACATTCAAGTCCAAATGTAGAGGACACAACAGGGCAGTAAGAGAAGGCCCCAAAATCTTTCCCTAAGTGTGTCAGAGTAAGATGCCCCAGAATAGCACCCAGGAAAGAGACAGTAGTCAGAACAGGTCTAGAGACTGGTTGGCGGCTGGTAGAGAGCAAGAGTTTGAATCACCAACAACACACAGTGTAGGGAAAAAGCAGTTCCTGAAAATGATGCCTGAGCAAAGCCTATGAGAGCAGCACTGATACCTGAAAGGATAGAATTAACCAGAAAAGGCTGTAATAGTTACTGAGATTATGAGCTGGCCCTGACTTAGAACACTTCTCCAACTTCCTGAAAAAGATTAACCAATGCAAATTTGAGAAAAGGGTATAACAAGAACATGAGTTGATGCCCCTTTAATCAAGTATGTTTCTAAAGAACTCAGAAGAACTAGAATGGCACTAAGGGTTTTTAAATGCTAAGTTGAAAGTAACACCCAGCAAATTCAACAGAATTATAAGCCTCAATTTATGTAAACAATGAAGGTGAATCAGTCCACCTGTAAATTTACTCACAGTTTGAAAAATCTATCATCCTACCAAAAGAAGCTTGATATAGCCACACCAACATCAGATGAAGGAGACTTTAAGAAACATTACTAAAGGTAAAGGGGAACATTTCACAATGATAAAAGGGTCAATGCTATGTTAAGAAAACAATCCTAAACCTATGTACCTGATAACAAAACTCCAATACATATTGCCAAAATGGACAGATATTTTTTTAAAAAATCTACTTAACTATAGAGAAAGGATGGTTATTGGAGGGAAGGCGTAGGGGTGGGCTAAATGGGTGATGGGTATAATCATCACTTGTGA